ATTATATAATTAACAATAATGTCTCATAATAATAGGATAATAATATTATGTATTCCAATGCCAATAATAATATATTAATTCTATACTTATGAGCTAGAATATATATTTTATTTCGATTAATCTGCATTACTTTTAGTATTTAATATATACAGATAGGTATAGAAGACACTATACATTTTTATGATAATTTAATTCGACAGAAATATATCAACGTAAATATTTTGTTAATTAGAAGAATGTTAAAATTGAGTTAAACTTCGAATAGTATTTTAAATCACGATCATCACTATGCTGAACTTAGTATAATACGTCGAATACGATTTGGACTGCGAAACGTTGAGCAAAATATTTTATATTTTCCACAATCATAGTTAAAGTTTAAAAACAATTATTACAAATATTATCTATAATTTCTATAGATAATATAATCATTAAATATTATCTACGATATCTATAGATAATATAGAAAAGAAAATAGATCGTATATACAAATTATTTCGTTAAAAATTATATTTTAATTTATATTTTATATATATATTAATTATATTTTGATAATGTTTCGTTATATATTATTTATATATTGTTTCAGGTAAATCATGGGGAAAGATACAAAGGAGCAAGTCACTGGCAGTCCCATGCAGGAGTTCAGTAGCAGGTACAATTTACTAATTTATATCTCATTTGGTGTATTCGATCATCGATATCGATATAATTTGTGATATTCTATCGAATATCACATATCACAATGTAATTGATTTCGATTAGAATCATATTCGTATCTCAAAAAGACAAACTAACACATTACATCTGCACAAAAAGATATCCGTGATCATTTATCTCGTAAATGACTTGTATATCTTTATTGATAGTGATGATAAAGTTTTCATTTTGATATCAAACATTACTAACTAAATTTGATAATTAATCTTATAATTAAGGTGATAGGATAATTTTCGATTTTAATTAAATTAAATCTCCATTAAAATTAAATTGTTATGTATTAACTGAATTTCCGTATTATTTCAATTCAATTATACCATATCTTTTCTTTGTTTTGTAAATTTTTATTAAAATATATATATATATAGTTATATTGACAAAGAAAATTATAATATTTATTATAAATATGAATGTATATAACGTAAGTAATATAATTTAATTTTATCAAGGAATTATGAATATTCATTTAAAAATAAAGAATATAAAATCATTCGAGATAAATTGTATAAAAATTTATAAAAAAGATAATACATTACAATAGTTAGGAAAAAATTTGGTAAAATTAACTGAAAATTTATTATTAATAGGTTCCTATGCTAAACTGCCAATCTTAATCAAAATAAATAATAATAATAAATCAAAATTTATTATTAACCCTTTGCGCTCGACGATTTTTTGGCTAAAGAAGGGTACGAGTTGAAAAATTATTTACTATAAGACTGATAATATAATATTTTTCGAGCACTAAATAAGAAATCGTATCATAATTAACACGTAGAATTATTTAATTTCGATACCTCGCATACTGTTACATTATTTTAAATTTGATATATTAATTAATATCGAGTTTCGAAATTTTATGAAATGGTGACTGAAGGGCGCCTCTCGAGTGCAAAGGGTTAGTAGGTTACTATGCTAAACTTATCAATCCATTGAAATTTAAATAATTTTACAAAAATATGGTATAATATTGCAAAAGAGAAAACATAGTTCCTTCGAAATTTATTGTAATAACATATTTTTTTCTTTATTATTAGCACAAAAATCGCCAGTGTATCAATTGGAGAATTCAACGAGAAGGATGAACTGTATAATCCCTTTGAACATCGTGATAAGAAAAATACCAATTCGTAAGTTATTTTCTGTTCACAACTATATTGACAATTTGCAAAAATAAATAACACCGATGTCATAGCTAATAAACGACATAATAATTAATTAACAATTAACAACAGCAATCTAATAACAAATTAATAATTAGCAACAGCAACCTAATAATAAATTAATAATTAGCAATAGCAACCTAATAATTAATTAATAATTAGCAGCAGCAATCAAACAATAATTAATAACTAACAGTAACTAATGGTAATTAATAGCAAATAATTTATATATAATTAATTAATAACAAATAATTTATTTCTAATGTATAAATATTGGTCTCAACATCAATATTTATGCTTGGCAATCTTTATTTCGTAACAATCTATTATCAGATATTTATATTATCATATAAATACTTGTACAATAAGAATCTCGCAACAAAAATGATTGATTATTGCATTTTTATTGATAATATTGAACAAGTTCTTGATATCCTTCGGATAAGTTTTTGCTAGTATGTAATTAAGCGATAATGTACTCGAAGCTTTTAATGGTCGAGTCGATATAACTGCGTTTTATCACGTGCTTTATTATGCCCACTACATGAGCCATAAATTTCAAGTCCTTTTATCAACATACTTTTCCTCTTAAATACTTACTATAATAGTAACAATATAATAATAATATTCATACACACATCGTATAATTTTCCTTCGAAAACCAAAGTATTATAAGTCTCTGGATTCACCTTGAAATTAACTA